ACACATAGATGTCCACGTTAGTGAGAAAGTCCAAGAAGTGAATGACTCTTCTTATCAAGTCAACAATAATGCTGAGTCAGAAAATATGGAGATAAAGCAAATGGAAAGAAGTTGCATGGTGACAGAGGAAAAGAACAAAAGCAGAAGCCCTAAAAGCATGCATAATGATCCAACGGGTTGTAGAAGAGAGATGGCACGTGAAAGACATCTAATGGTCATGAGTAAATGTTTGTTGATATAAAAGGAAGTTACTTGTCTAGGAAAACGAGCATAGAAAATATCAGATTGCCAAATGAATGAAAAACAGTTATAAGCATTAATGGAGATTTGTTCTTTCATGATAATTTGTTTTGCTTTTATTTATTTTTCTTATAAGAATATATTTTTTTCTTTTTCTTTTGTAGCTAAAACATTAATAAGAGTAACATTATCTTTTTACCCCATAAAATAGCCACTATTCATTTTTTCCACAAAGATGACTTGTTTTCATTTTTTTTTTCTTAAAAAAAAGGGCCATAAAACGTGAGCTCTGATTAGTGCATGTTAGACAAGAAACAAAGTTTACAAAGGGTTTTTGATAGTTTTGGCCCTCCTACTCACCACTACCAAAAAAAGACTACAATTTTTGGATTTTGAACACTACACTTCTATCAACAACACCCTCAAGAATCCCTAAATGATCACCAACTGACTGGTCCACAACACCATGATCTTCATCATCAACATCAAAGCTGATATTCAAATCCAACGGCTCATCGCAAGTGTCCGTGATCTCTTTATCACAAGGAGAACAAGCCCTCGACCCGAGTCTAAACGCTTCACAGCTCAATACAACAATAGCATCACAAAACTTAGCCTCTTCACCAATCCCCGTGCTGCTCGCTATTCTCCCACTTCCGATTGCTCGTCTTATCCTCATTTCTGATATGCGATCCGCTTGCTCTAAATCTTCCAACAAGAACACACGGTGTGGATTTTCGGACACTGCCTGGGCAAACCGGTCTATGTAACTGCAGCAACTTTGTTCGTCCCTCACTCTTTTCTTACGATGATCCTCGGACAATGCATCGGGTTCTGTGGATGAGGCGAAACTGCTTATTCCGATTGATACGAAGTTAGAACATGAGTCAAACACGGTCTTAGCTAGGTGTCTTGAGACTATCTCTTTTGCTAGTGCATCGGGGCCAAGAAAGAGTAGCCATGTTTCGCTCTTCACATAGCTGTTGCCTGTGACGTCGTGTTTTCTTCTTAACATTCCAGATCTGCATTGCAATATGGTTGCAGCTATTTCAGGGATAATTTCCTTTTGCCATGGAACCTTCTTCTCCAGTGCACTGCACAAAATATTCAGGCTTTGCGAGCTGAATTCTATGAACTTTGGAGAATATGCGGCATCCGTACTATTGTTGCCACTTGAGGAAGGAGAACTTGTCGTGGTTGAACAAGAAATTAATGGCTTCGGGTTATGTGGGTCGAACGAGAAGCAAGAAGTCGACAAAGAAGGTGACAATGAAGAAGTGAGTTTGATCACCTCTTCATCTATAAGCAGTTGCTGATGACCGATTGCATTTTCCGCTCCTCTTCTAGCTTCCGCACTATGCTCATCACTAATTATTATCCGAACATAAACTAAAATTAGTTATTCAAAATGCCAAAAAATATAATACACAAAAAATATAGCTAAAAAAACTCTAACCGTAAAACATATTCATATCACACACCTTGGAGAAACAATACTCAAGCCCAAGCCTGCGTGTACAGGAGGAACCGTAACCATATGCAGCCCCCAAACATCCTCGAGCGAGCTGTACCCGTTTTTACACCTCGTATAAGCCTCAAAATCCGCAACACCAATCACCCAAAACCTCCCATTCACAATCTCGAAAACCAAACGCCCAATCTCCGTTATCAAGTGATCCACCGGACAATAGTCATGCCCTACCTCCTCACCCACCATTTTACTAACCCTATACCTGCTCACCCAATCAAGGTCCCCCAAGTGCAGAACCACCCCTTTCGAGACCAGACTCCTCACCAGTTCGCCCAACTCCACCATCTTCTTCTCCACCGAGTGCCTCTCGAGATTGAAGAACGAGTAAAACGGTGGGATAGTTATAAACTTCACCTCCTTAAGCTCGTCCGGCACTTCTCCCCTATCCACGCGATCCATCAACTTTTTCACCGCAGTCTGGACAGTCGAAACATTTTCACCGACTATCACGAGACTCCTCCTTTCTCTTCCACCGGCGGCTAATAATGACTCGATTATCACGTCTACATTGTCGTCCTTTTTGTCAGTAACTTGCTGCTCGACTTTCTTTCCCTTGCATGACTGCAAATAATTGATCGCGTCTTCCACGTTGGATTTGACTTGGGCGCTCGAGAAGCCTGCTTCTCTCATGACCCGGCTCACGCTCGGATCGTCCAGTATGGACACAACAAGCTGCCCGAGCCCGATTCTGATCGAACTTTGCTGCTGCTGCTGTTGTTCGACAGATTCACGGCGCTGGTGGGCCCCGGCCCGCTTGAGAGCGGCCACAAGTGCGTTTGAGGCCGAAGGATACAGGTGTTGGCCTAGGATTGGTCCGCCACACCCGGCTGTTAG